GCGCGATTCCCTGAATTCGCCCCGCTGCCTTGCAGGTCAGGTCCCTATGACCAAAGGCTCCGAGTGGGCCACCTCTAAGTCAATCCCCTTCCTCGGCCTGGATAACCTGGAAGCCGTAGGCCCACACAACATATGAAATGATGGATTTATGACTCTCTGTTCATGATTCCCGCTCTCTGGACTCTCTCTTTTTGGACGAGGTGCTAACGGCCGGGCATGCTAAACCTCACTATACCGCACCGTAAACTACCTTCTTCGTTGCATGTTTACAACCCTCCCGTCCTTGGAAACCCCCCTCCCATTTCGAGTCTCCGAAAAGGTATTGCAAATAAAAACGGTACCTCTGGCCTCCTCAAAGAACCGCTCAAAACCGATCGCACACAATCCAATTCTAACAGCAAGGCTTTTATTGTACTCCGCTCGCTTTGCAAGCGATCTACATTCAATGTTCGAACGCTCATGAGGGTTGGATCACAAGGTGCTCTTGCGCGCACCTTGGAAAGCCTCTCAATCGACGTTTGCTGCCTAACCGAAACCCGTCTAGGGGACTCCTGCACAACGTTGCGATTGCTCTCACCATCCGCAGGTTCCGACTGCACATGCAACTTGCGCTTATCTGGAGATGCGACAGCGGCAGCCTCTGGTTGCACCGGCGTAGGAGTTGCGTTAAGCGCGCGTGCTGAGGTAGCGCTCATTGACTGGTTCCCCGTCAACAGTCGTCTTTGTGCAGTCCGCTTGGAAAGCTCAGTGCGATCTTCTAGCCACGGGACCAGTAGGCGTTGTTTATTCATTGTCCCGGCGTACGCTCCAACTGACTGTAGCCCGGATGAAGCTAAAGACGAGTTCTACCGCCAACTCACAGACCTCCTCTGCGAAAAAGGCCGCACGGGCACGTAAATGCGCAGGTCGGTAGACTAGAGGTTCGTCAGCGCGACCTTGAGGGTCAACACAGCCACAGTACTCGCAGAACGGACAACAGCGATTGACTCCTTCAACTGTGCGCTGACCACGGCTTGTTCCTTACGAGCACTAATTTCCGGCGTTCCTGTCGTGAACAAGCCACCTGGCGACCTCCGGCGACCACTGAAGCTGCAGACTGACCACATCGCTGTTAGTTTTGGTGAGGGTGCATAACGGACTGCAAGTCAATTTGGAACACTTACCTGACTCCTGATCATGCGCTCGTGTGTGTTAAGGTCGTTCTGCGCTTTGGAGGCACCCGACAGCGTCGCCGGAAACGGATTGATACCGACAAGCTCGGCGCCCTAAATGTTCTCGGCGAATTTAAGAACACATTAGACTCCAACCAGCGTTCTCTATCCTCCGATGTTGACACAGTGGGGACAGATTCAGCGCGTCTTACGAAATTCCGCTACTTTGGTCTGTGACTTCACTGGACGAACTGCTAGTCATTGGATCTCCACATAGTCTCTCCAATTAATGGAAAGCCGTCAAACAATTCCTTCCGGAGTTGAGTACAAAGCACTAGGCAGAACCACAAGTGCTAGACTCAGACAGCTTTTCAGGAAGGATCGAGAGGTCTGGTGGACAAAACGCGTCAATGAGATGAAGCGTGCAGCCTAATCAGGAAACTGATACGAACTCTTAGAACTTATTCGCTCCACGGGAAGCATAGGGCTAACCGTGAGAGAGGTTTTGTGTGAGAATGACGACGAACTAAATCACAATCGTCTGGTACGATAGGCAGAGCACTTTGAATATCAGTTCAACTGATAACCAGCAAAACCGAGTGCATCTTTCGAGATTTACAGTGTTCCCTGGTGCGTGGATGTTTCTCCACTGACAGAGGCCGAGATTTCCAATGAGCTTCGCCACAAGTCACCTGGCCCAGATGAACTTCTTGCTCTCCAAATATGGGGGTCGTGCTCTCACCCGTGAAGCGACACCACTCTTTCATCAGATTCGGACTACTAAAAGCACCCCATCCGGCTGGAAATTAGCGGATGTTGTATCTGTCTACAGAAAGGAGACTGGACCGTTGGCTTCAACCATGGTGGCATCAGTCTCATTTGTGTCATATCCAAACTGCTCACTGCCCTACTCTTACGGAGGCTCAGTTGCGTCGATCACATCTTTACGATTCGCCTAATAATTGAACACCATCATATCTTCAATCGATCAACCATAGTCATATTCTTGAACATTTGAGCCGCGTTTGACTGCTGACAGAGTGGCTATTTGGAACTGCTTACTGAAGAGGGGAGAACCTGAGAAGTACACCTGCATTCTCCGTGTCATTTAGCACCAAATTTCTGGCCGCGTGCCAGTATACGGAGACCCCTTTCAGTATCACTAGCAGTGTTAGACTGGGTGGCCCAGCCTCTCTATTTTGGTTCAAGTTCGCCATGGACGAGATCCTGGATGCTGCACTGGAAAACTCTGAGTCCTGCGCCGTTGAACTGACTCTGGTGACGGCCATCGGAACTTGGAGTACGCAGATAACATCGCTGTAATTTGTGAGCCCTCCCAGGCCGCCTAGCATATGCAACATAGACTAGAGATGTCCGCTTTCCAGTTTTGGTTGACCTTTGCCCAATCCAAATGTAAGGTCCTATTACAGGACTTGTCAAGTGCACCTCCTCTCGCTCTTTCAGAGCATCCGCTGGACGTGGTCGACAAATTCACTAACCTTGAGAGTTAACTTAGTATTGGCGGCTTGACGGGTGAGATCTCCCTGCGTGTCTCTAAGGCTAAAGTAGCTTTCGCTAACCTCCGTCACGCGTGACTTAGTCATGACTTTAGCTTCGCTCACAAGGGACGAGTTTACAATGCTGCGGTACGAGTGATTCTGTTGTATGGCTGTGAGACTTGGTCCGTTCGCAAAAGCGATGTTCGGCGGCTACTTATCTTCGATCATCGATGCGTGCGAAGCATTGCTGGTGTTCGATCGCAGTATCACATCGGTAATGAGGAAGTCGGTAGACGAGTCTTCAAATCTGATAAACTCAGCCGATCGATTGACAGCATCAATTCCCTGCAGAGGCTTCGCTAGCTTAAGAATGTTCTCCACATGTCTATCCAGCGGAAACAACGAGGTATCCTATTTACTAGCAAAGGCATGGGACGGAAGCGACGATAAGGAGGCCAGTGTAAAACTTGGATTCATCGGGTTAGAAGGCGCAAACGTCCAAGCAGGCTGTTGTTGGTCGTTCCCGACTCCCGGTTTGGGAACCAAAGGTTGAAAACGCTACTGGATACGGCCAAAGACCGTACGCAGTGGCGCACTTGCTGTGAGACCTTTCTACTCTAAAAGTAGTTTTCCTTTTCAATCTCTCTTTTCTCCCTTATGCGTCGTAACATTCAGTCAATTGTAATGTAATTGGGAAAGTTTTGAATATATATATATATATATATATATATATATATATATATATATATGAAGGCCAATAACGCGGTAGATTTGGCGCATGTAATGCACCGTCGATAAAGTTAGCCTGCACATGTGACTATAAGTTTATTATTCAAATTGTGACTGCGTTTGCTGATGTATATTATAGTTCCATCTAGACTTGGTGCGAATGTTGACAAGATATCTACTTTACAAAACCACCTCGACGATTGGCTCCAGGAGACTGTTAACCGTTGCTGGGGAAAACGTTGGGGGAAATCCAAATAGGCTTTTTACTCCTAAATGGGCACCTTATCAGCATTAACTATACCACTACGGATAGATTGAATGAATTAAACCAGCTAAAAATAAATAAATAGATACTGAAGGATTAAATAGATATGTCATTCAAGTATCCGCATGCGCAAAGCACCTATGACTTTCGTAGGGTCGACGAGAAAGTGTGACAAATAAGGCAAGATGATGTTACGATACGAAGTGCGAGAGAATAAAATCAAGTTTTGAGCGCGTGTGACAGATAACGTTCGTAAGAGAGTATCATGTGGCGGATGAGAGCGGTCACTTAGGACCTTAAAAAAAACATGCAAGCACCGAAATGTCTACGAGCAATAAAAGCAACCATGGAATCTCTAGACAAATCCCTACATCTAGAAATATGTTTAATGGATCGCACGATCAAAATAAAGCCCTTTTGGAGTAGTCCAGTAAAGAGTACTGGGAAACAGTACAACCAGTGGAGTAGTTGCAAATCTCAAAATCAAACCGCGGTACGGAGAAGTTCTTAAGTAGGAAACCATAAAAATATAGCCTTCTGATCTTGTGCAATGTCCCGAAAACGTACATGGACCAGGAGAGGCTTTGGGAAAAGTAGATACCAAGATATTCGACAACGGAAAAATACGCATGGCTTTTTCATCCATAGTTAATAAAGGGGTCATCTAAAATTCCTCGTAATTTATCGGGGCGGAGAAATGAAAATGTGGTAGGCACAAAGAATGGTTCGGTTCAGTATGGAACGGGCTTCGGCCATGCCACCGCCTTGTATACGTATGTTATACATGTTACCATGCACTCATGTGAATGATGTGCATGTTGATGGGGTGTGAGTCGGCTCCGAATCAATCGTAGCACCCGTCTACATGCCTCCCAGTCTTATTCCCCGGGGTTTACACTGAATATGATGTAGGTGGATGGAGCTGTGGGTGGTGCAGCGCAAAGCACCCATGATCTCTGTGTAGACGCATGCGTCCGGTGATTGATCATAGTCGCAGAGACGAGTAAATCCGTATAAGAATGGCGCCTACACAACATAAAGAGCAGTCAGTTGCCGTGTGCGACCCTGATGACTACAAAAGTGGCCCTTGTGGCACTCATGATAAATGTAACCCATGCGGCCTTTAAGGGGTCCTCAGTTTGACATGCTTGATGTAGTGTATCCTAATGGACCAGATACCATGATGCTTGAGTAGTGTGTGAGTGATGGTTGGCGATTGATCAGCCAAGCAACAACGTTAAGGTGTATAGATCGAAACTACGCAATAAGGTACACAATAGAACTGAATGAAGTAATAAACGAGAGCGAGCTCCGGAACCACTGTAACGATCTTGATGCTCTGACAGACAAGCTTACCCTGTTCGTTATCAATGGGAAACTTCCACATTTTACCTTCTGCAGTCCACTGAAGCCACTCCTCAAATTGATTCAGAGGTGAACTTGAACACATAAGGGAGATTTCTAGTTCATTGATGGCATCAAAAACCGGACACCTTGAGGTGGGATGATTGAGCTGGTCGTAATCTAGAACAATGTTTTTGAAATAAGTTTTAAACCAACTATGCTTGGATATTTCCATTCCGGTAAAAAGATGTAGGTCAAGAGGTTTCGGGAAGCTGAACAGAGCTAGGTTGAAATCACTCAGCATTCGCTCACTTGTGAGCAGGCTTGAGGTAAGAAACTACATGAAGATGTCAACGTGTGAAGCAAGCGTACTTCGGGAGCTTGGAGAGGAGTAAGACGAATCAGAGGTATGCTGCTGAAAAAGGACTCTGGAACGAAACGTAAAAAAGAGAGAAAATACCCTGGTTCTACCGTGGCAGTTTGGCTGGGATTCGCGCGTTCATCTTGAATCAAATACAACGGAAGGACAATCTTACTTATTTTTCTTGGTTTATCCGTGATAGTGCTTGACAACTCCGTAGAGTCTGTTTCCAATGGCGTGTTTATTAACCTGCGCTGTAGGATAATGATGGGAACGTACTTTTTGGGACTTGGGGGACCAGTAAGTTGATCAAATAGGTCCCTAGATTGGTCAAAAATAGTAATGAAACCAAAGAAATTACTTTGCAGTGAAAGCGCCCTTTCGTACACTTGATAACAAAGGTAAATTGTGACTGAAGTGGCCTTACCGAGTGTGCCTTTGCTTATCTTTGTCTACTGGTTGTGTGGGCACTTTTTTACACATAAAACGAGGAAGAGACGGCTGAAGGGCAGGAAGTAACAGCATGGAACGACCAAGCATTGCGAAGGAGAAGCCCTGGAAAGGTCAAGAAGGTCATTCACAAGAAAGTATGACACTCCGGCGATGAGTAGTGGTCGAAAAATACTAGGAAGGTTTCAACCCCTTAGTAAAAAGGCAAAAAGTTGGAGAGGGTCAACTCACAGTCTAATCACAGTTGAGCTCGAGTCGTAGGTTGAGCTATACCTGTCGCACACGCAGAGCACAATGGAAATAGACGTTCGATAGTAATTCCGAATATACTATCCGATTCGCGAGCAGACTGAACGGCACCGCACGCACGCAGAAGCAGCACAGCCAGAAATCAGCACGACGGAACGCGGGGCGCGAAGAAGTGTATTGTAATCATTAATTCAAGCAAACTGTACGAAAGATGTCATGATAAAATTGATGACAAGAAAGACAAAATGTGAAAGATTAATAACCACTACATAACTCCCCCGTAGAGCGTGAACTGGTAAGGTAACGCTCGATATAGCTATCTAAGGAACAAACTCAGCTAGTTTGGAGGGGAAACACACAGAACGTCCTGAACGTGTGTGTTTGGGATCATTCGTTGGGCGAGCGCATGAAGGTTCTGGAGCATTGGAATCAGTCGGTTGACCAACAGGGGGTAACAACTGGGGATCAGTCAAAGTAACGGCAGGCTCAACATAAGCGGGTTTAAGACGGTCAATACTCACAGATTCTTTCGATCCATTCCTTTCCAGTATGAAGTACTTAGGTTTCCGTGACAACACTTTGTAAGGACCTTCATAAGGGGGTGTCAACGGCTTGCGAACTGCATTAATGCGAATGAAAACAAAAGGACAAGTGTGTAAGTCCGGATGAATTCGTTGTTCGCGGGCAGTGAAGCGAGTAGACGGAGGTCGAATTGTTCGGAAGTGTTGTTTGAGACGTTCGGCGTAGGACACAGGATCTATCTCACCGGTGACTCGGGAATCCAAAATCATCTCACCTAGGAGTCTGAGAGTGGTGCCAAAGACGAGTTCGGTAAAGCTGCATCCGATATCCTGTTTGACGGTATTCCGAATACCAAGAAGGACAGCTGGGATGCGTTCAGACCAATGTGGATCAGGTGAATTAGCTGTGATGGCGGTTTTAAGCTGTCAATGGAAACGCTCGACAAGGCCATTCGAAGCGGGATGATAAGCAGTTGTCCGAATGTGGGTACAACCCAACAGACGACTCAAGTCACGGAACAAGGTGAAACTAAACTGAGATCCTCGATCTGTAGTGATCGTAGATGGTACACCGAAAAAGGAAATCCATGAATCGAAAAATGCACGGGCAACAGATTCTGAAGATGTGTCACGTAAAGGAATGGCATGCGGCCAACGAGTAAAACCGTCAACACAAGTAAGGATGAAAGTGAAATTGTTCGATGGAGGAAGCGGTCCGACTATGTCTAGGTGGACATGTCTAAAACGCGCCTCAGGTAGTGAGAATCTTCCGGGGGCAGAGATAGTGTGTCTGTGTACTTTGCTGCTCTGGCAGCTGAGACAGTGTTTAGCCCATTGACGGATATCGGAACGCATACTAGGCCAGATGAAACGATCAGTAATCAACTTCACAGTGGATCGAATGCTAGGATGCGATAGTCCGTGAAAATGGTCAGACGGTTCGCCAGAAAGACTGTGGAACAAACGGTCTTGGCTTACCGGTAGAGACATCGCAGTGAATCCTTGCGTCTGAGTTTAAAATTGGTAATTGCAAGAATTTCAATGTGGTATTCGATCGAAGCTGAGCGAGTTCAGGACCGTTGTTCTGGGCAACAGACATTTCCTCAAGGTCTATTGGAGAGGACGACAGTTGATGTAGGTGAGCACGTGAAAGTGCATCAGCGACAACATTATTTGGACCGTCGAGATAGCGAATATCGGCACAAAATTGGGAGAGGTAATCCAGATGTCGTGTCTCTCGGGGAATAGCAGTCGGAAGCGGCACGAAAGGCGTAGACCAAAGGCTTGTGGTCCGTCAGTACTACAAAATGTCGTCCTTCAAGGACGTGACGAAAGTGTTTGACGGCCAAGTAGATCGCGACCGAAAGTACTATATCTCGTTTGTGCTGGTTGTAGCTTCCGAGAAAAGAAAGACAGCGGCTGAATCTCATTACCGATTAGTTGTTGTAGTACAGCACCAACAACGGATTGTGAAGCATCAGTCTTGAGGACGAGAGTAGCTTTCTCGTCGGTGTCCAAGTAGCTCAGGGAAGTTACCTGGCTCAACATCTGCTTGATGGCAACAAACGCTGTTTCGGCTTCTGGCGTAATGTAGAACTTCTTTGGATTACCTTTAAGTAAATCAGTCAAAGGCTGAAGAACGGCAGCACAATTGTCAATAAATCTTCCGTAATAATTAACCATGCCAAGGAATCGGCGCAGGTTTTTAACGGATTGGGGCAGTGGATAGTCCATGATTGCCTGGGTTTTCAGAGGGATGGGACTAATACCTTTGCTATCAATTTTGTGACCAAGAAAATCAACGTTAGATTGACCAAATAGACATTTATCAGGATTAATGGTTATCCCGTGATGATCGAAGCGTTCGAACACTTGTCGAAGGTGATCAAAGTGCTCTTCTGGCGTGGCACTGGCTATGAGAGCATCATCTATGTAGACAAAAACAAAGTCTACACCACGGAGGACCTGGTCCATGAAGCGCTGAAAGGACTGTGCCGCATTGCGAAGGCCAAAAGGCAAACGAATGAACTCGTACAAACCGAAAGGTGCAATAACAGCCGTTTTAGCAATGTCCTCAGATGCCATTGGAATTTGATGGTACGCTCGCACAAGGTCAATCTTGGAAAAAACGGATTTCCCGGACAATCCCAATGAAAAATCATGAATATGGGGGATAGGGTATCTGTCGGGGATAGTAACGGCGTTGAGTGCCCGGTAATCACCGCATGAACGCCAATCACCGGACTTTTTGGGTACCAGATGAAGCGGGGAAGCCCAACAACTGTTGGATGGGCGAATGATTCCGAGGTTGAGCATGTGCTCGAATTCGCGTTTAGCCGCTTGGAGCTTGTCAGGTGGAAGACGTCTCGGTTTGGATGACACGGGTGGACCTTTGGTGACGATATGATGACGAACCTCGTGTTTAGGCTCGGTAGAGTCGGTATTAGAGCGGACCAAAGACGGAAATTGCTGAAGCAATGAGGAATACGGCGTACAGTCTGGCATGAGTACGCGGAGTCCAACGGAAGTGACTGGGGCGAGATGGTAAGGGACAGTGAGCGAAGTGCTGTCGTCCCGTAACTTCCTGCAACGTAGGTCGACGACGAGGCCGAATTTGCTAAGGAAGTCGATGCCAAGTATGGGTTTCTGGACGTCTGCGATGGTAAAGATAAAAGGAAAGTCGCGTCGTAAACCAAGGCTTAGGTGCAACAGCTTTTGGCCGTATGTCGCGATCTTAGTCTGGTTAGCCGCCTGTAACGTAAGTCCGGCTTGTTGCAGAGGGCGTTTTTCCAACGAACGTGGTATAACGCTGAATTCTGCGCCCGTATCGACCAAAAAATGAAGTTTAGTCGTGGAGTCGAACACGTACAGAAGGCGACTGAGGATTTGGCCAGCGACAGCCGTCGCCATTACTGGCTGGCTTTGCCGTTTCCCGGTTGTGAATTCGGAGTTCCTTTCGGATATTTGCATCCCGGACGACAGTTACGTGTTGATTTACCGAAGCGACGGTGGAAGTAACAGTACGACCGCTGGCGTGAGCGTGATGTGCTGCGGCGCAGACCACGTGGACTTCCTCGGTTAGGAGTGCGTTCACGTCGAATAACAGACATGCTAAATTCTAGGCGGGATATTCTATTGTTGATTGAATAAAGCGTAGTGCTATGGGATGAGCTGGCTGTGGTGGACTCAACTACGTGATTAAGAGCAGTCTTAAAGAAATATTCGTGCGTTTTGTCCGCAGCTTCTGCGAGCTTTTCCAGCGTGATATCGTCGCTAAGAACTGATAATATCGCTGTGATGTTTGCCGGAAGACATTTCGTCCAAAGTTGGCGGAGTATGGAGTCGTCGAGTTTCGACGAACCAACTAGGGAACGCATGTGTCTTAGAAGCTGAGATGGGGTGCGATCGCCAAGCTCGACGCCGGAAAGTAACTGTCGCAGACGAGCTTCATCAGACGCAGTTGTGCGTTTAAGGATAGCTGCTTTAATTTTATCATACGGCGCTTCAACAGGCATAGGATCAAGAATATCAATGACTTCAGATGCAATGGAGACAGGTAAGCGCGAGACGACGTAAGAGAACATGGAAGGTTGTGAAGTGGTCTCACGACATCGAAAAGTGGCTTCTACCTGAATAAACCGTACGCGTGGATTGGAAATGTCAAAGGTAGGAAGCGAAAGTTCGACGGAATTGTCCGTAAAAACACATGGGGTGTGGTCAGACATGACTAAGAAAAAATACGTTCAAAAAATAAGGCGAGGTCACCAATTTATGTGGTGGTCGAAAAATACTAGGAAGGTTTCAACCCCTTAGTAAAAAGGCAAAAGATGGAGAGGGTCAACTCACAGTCTAATCACAGTTGAGCTCGAGTCGTAGGTTGAGCTATACCTGTCGCACACGCAGAGCACAGTGGAAATAGACGTTCGATAGTAATTCCGAATATACTATCCGATTCGCGAGCAGACTGAACGGCACCGCACGCACGCAGAAGCAGCACAGCCAGAAATCAGCACGACGGAACGCGGGGCGCGAAGAAGTGTATTGTAATCATTAATTCGAACAAACTGTACGAAAGATGTCATGATAAAATTGATGACAAGAAAGACAAAATGTGAAAGATTAATAACCACTACAATGATCATCTGATAGACCCAGTTTAGCCAAATAACTACGATCTGGAAGCTGAAGGGCATGCATGATCTGGTCCGACGGATAGGTTTAAAATAAAAAGCCTAGTAATGTGTAACCAAACAAATTTGGGACGGCCCACGTATTTCATCGGCGCGAAACAGTTGATCTGAGCAACGCCGGACGCCGGTA